CTTTTTATACTTTTTAATATTGTTAGGTTTAATGACGTATTTGTTAATAAATTGCTAGTTGTATTTTTTTATTTATTTTATTAAAGTGAATATGATAAAGAATATTTTATTATTTTAACTTATATATTTTTTATGGCATGCTTAATAAATTTTGGTATTTATTTTTAAATAAAAGAGAGAATTTTATGGGATTATTAAATTTTTAAATTAATTATATTTTTTTTTTGGTGTCGAAATAATGATTATTATATTAGTTGTTATTAGCATAAGTACAATGAAAATGATTTCGACTCTAAAAAATACTCTAATGAAAACTATAATTTATTTTTTTTTTCTCTTTTTTATCTTTACTTCATTATTGTTTTTTAATAATTCCTGAACAACTCATTAAAATAGATAGACTCTATTAAGTCTCTGGGTAGTGCCCAGTAACATATTTCATAAACTTCAAACATTTTTTTTTTTTTTTTTTTTTTTTATTTTTTTTTTTTTTTTTTTTTGTTAAGACCTCATATTCTTGGCACTTTCCCTCCATAATTAATTCGGCAAAAGTGGCTCACTATTGTGAAGAAGTCATATCAAGCTGTGTTTGGCAGTGGGTTTTGTAAGGATGAGAATTTTTTTCTGTGATATAATATCATCTCGACTCAAAACACACCATAAATAGGGATTTATATTTTAGTAATACACAAACAAAGATCCATTAACCTATCATTACATTCTTCTCTACAAAATTCAAATCAAAAAGTCAAAGTCCTTCCAACCAGCTTTGTTAACCCAAGCTAAATTTATAGAAAAACTTCAAAGTCAAAAGCCCAACCCCTTCAAAACGGAGGCTCATTTGATTGTTTTAAGTTTTTCAGAATTAAACAATTTTTCAAAAAAAATTTGTTAATTTTTATATTTTATAATTTTTTTTGGTACATGGAAATTTTTATAATATTATGAAATTTATATATTATTTAATTTTAAATACACCAACATAATACACATAAAAAAAATTAATTAATACAATTTATTTACATATAATGGTTAGCTCTCAAGGTAACCGTTTATTTTTAGAGGGTAGAATGGAAGAAAGAGATTGAATTAGTAAAGATAGATATATAGTGAAGGGGATTAAATTAAGTTAAGTTTGATTGGGATTGATATTGTTAAAAGATTATATAAATTGTGTTTGTTTTGATGATATTGTTAGTATAGGGTTTTGGTTAAATTATTTATTATGTAAACTACTATAAAATAATACAAATTAAAAAAACAAAAATATAAACATTAACTTAATGTTTAATAAAATACCAACATGTAAAATTTATAGATAAAAATAAAATAAAAAAATTTCAAATAAATAATAATAAATAATGATTTTTACTACATTTATATATAACAAAACTCATCCAAAAATAAACATTAATGTTAAACAAAAATACCCGACTGTAAAAATAAAATAAAAATTAAAATTCAACTAATCGTCGGACTATTTATTCTAAATATCCCAATCTTTGAAGCCATCGAATCCCTTAGGGAAGGCCCATCTAAGCCTGAGCTCACTATAATTCCTCTTCTTTCAAAACAAGACACAATAAATAGGTGGGTCTCGACGTGCATCTACCTATGCAAAATACTCCTCTAATCATCAAAACACAACGAGACCTTAGTTTGTAACGTAACTATATATTTTAAAGCATTAGTGAATAAAATCACAAATTTATATCTAAACGTTCCTCATGTGAGAAACAAGATTTTTTTTTAGTGAATTTGTTGGTTTTTTATGGTTTAATTGAAGATCAAAAATTAGAAATACTCTGAAGATATTTTTTAAATTTTTTACAATAAAAATTATTGTAAATATAATTAAGAAAATATAATAATGAATATCTTTGACTTTTTATAGTATAAATATTTAGGAGCTTTTAATTTTTGGTTTTTAATTTTAATATTATTATTTTTAACGCTTTGATTAAAATAAGTGGGAATGCATAAAAGAGGTAGTTCATTTGTGAAGTCAATTTGAAATTTTATGCTCCTCAGTTATTTTTCACCTTTGGTTTACTATTGTTATATTTTATAGATAGGGAAATGGGCTTCTAGTCCGGGTCAGAGAGACATAGAGCAAGAACTGGAAACCAGTGATGTGTGGTTCTATGCGGTAAGCTTAATCACAGGTGTTTTGATAATTTGAAACGTTAAGATATGTACGATTCGTCGAGTATCTATGCTTTTAAAAAATCACGTTGATCGGATTGATGCTATTGATTAGAAGTTTTTTGTCATCATTAATTTAGTTAACGTCCAGTTTTTTAATACGAACTGAATTGATCATATAGCTATCGTATCCGATAATGATTTTTTGGCAGACATTAGTATCGCGAGCTTCTAACAAATATGACGTTCGATTTTCAAATGGGACCGGTGGTGGGCCCCACGGGCCCAAAAAAGGACCAGTCTAATTCCGGATGAACAGAAGATCTTCTAGAGAGAGAGAGAGAGAGAGAGAGATCTTTGTTCAGTCCGGAATTGAACACTCCGATCCGTGTTGTAGGGAATTGTCCCGTGGGGGCCACACGGGTCCATTTAAATCGATATCATTCGTGAACGTTCTATTGTGAGAACTTGTTCGGTCTTGATGTCTGCAAAAAATTTTTGTTATGATTTGGATATGATAGCTATATGGATAAATCTACAGTTTCGTAGTTAAAAAATGGACGGTGACAATATTAATGATTGCAAAAAACTGTTATATTACATATAGTCTTATGATATCCGATAACCGGATTTTTAAAAGTATAGTACTCGACGAATTCTACATTTGAACGGTTCAGATATCAAACGGGACTGTGATAGCTATACGAGCAGGTGTCCGATCCAGGATGAGACTGAGCCATCCCATCTTAAATATATACAAGTGACCAACAGGGGAAAAAAATGATGATGCATCTAACATTTGAAAATTGATCAAATGAAGACTTAGGTTTTTTGGCATCATTGATTTTAATCTAACAGTTAAAAAATATATATTAAATTTAAAAGTCTATAATTTATACTAAAAAGTCATTTCATTTTTTTTTCTATTTTTTACATATTTATTATATAATTGATAAAAATATAAAATTATTTAGCAAGTATTTTAATTTTTGTCTCAATATTTAAAGCAAGAAAACTTCAAAAAGTTACTAAAAAAAGAATTATGTATTCCACATGAGGTACCGTTAGATAAAATTGATTTATAAACTTAGGGTATAATAAGGTAGGTAAAGACTAAGGTTCTCTTGTTTGTTTTGATGGTTAAGAAGGGGGATTTTGGATTGGGTAGTGAGGTGAGACCCATTATATTTGTTGTTTGTTGAGAGGTTGAAGAGGAGATTAATGTGAAGCTCAGGCTTGGATGGGCCTCCCTAAGGGGATTCGGATGGGCTTCAAGGTTGGTATTAGAAATAGTCCGACGGATTAGGAAATTTTTATTTTTTATTTTATTTGTATATAACATGTCGGTTGTTTTTTTGTTTTTTTAACTTTAAAATGTATATGTATTTTTTTGTATTATTTTGTTAAGTAAAAATATTATTTTATTTATTTTATTTATTTTGAAATTTTTTTATTTTATTTTTTTTTTTCAACTTTTTTTACATGTTGGGTATTTTATTAAAAAACATTATGGTTTAAAGTTTATTATCTATTTTTTGTATTTTTTATTTTGTCTATTTTTTTATATTTTAGATTTTAAATAAGAATAATTTAAAAATCTAATTCTAACAAGTATCAACTATTAAAAAGAACACGAGAATGCTGTTGTGATATAAGTTTTTAACTATAACAATCCTTAACTAATAATACACTCTCACTAATTATATAACCACTTATATCATCTTCTTCTCATTCTAAAAATCCTTCATAAAAATTAACGGGACCTGCGCAGTATCACATCATTCACTCGTCTACTCACATAAATTTTATTTAATTATATTCTTTTATGTGTATTTTGATTGGTGTATTTAAATTATAATAATCATATTAGTATAAACATAAATTTTCAGTAAAAAAAATGGATAAATACAAACTTTTTTGAAAATGTTTTTTGAAAAAACTACACAATCAAAGTGAGCCTCAAGATATAGGGAAGTGGGATTGGTTCTTTTTTGACTTTTTGAATTTTTTTTTGGCTATTTTAGCTTGGGTTTAAAAGCTTGGTTTGGGAAGGACTTTTTGACTTTTTGATTTTTTTGAATTTTTTTGTGAGAGAAGAATGTAATGATTATGGGTTAGATGTGATGTTTTGTTTGTTATAGCTAAAATAACCTATTTTATTTTTTGTGACTAAAATAACCAAAAAAACTTACAAACCCACTTGCCAAACACAGGCTGAATGACTTCTCACAATAGTTGAGCCACTTTTGCCGAAGTAATTATGGAGGGGAAAGTGCCAAGAATATGAGGTCTTAAGTTTGAAGTTTATGAAGATATGTTGACTTGGGAGCTACCGCAGAACTTTAATTAGAGGTTCTGTGGTACAGTTTTAATGAGTTGTTCAGGAATTAAAAAAAAAAATAATGAAGTAAAAGATAAAAAAATGAGAAAAAAAAGATAAATTATAGTTTCATTAGAGGTATTTTTTTAGAGGTCTAAATCATTTTTCATGTTGACTTATGCTGTAATATAACAACTAATATAATAATCATTATTTTCGACACCAAAAAAAAATATAATAATTTTAAAATTATTAATAAGTGCCCATAAAATTCTCTCTTTTATTTATAAAATAATACCAAAATTTTTATTAATGCATGCCATAAAAAATATTGATTAAGTTAAAATAATTAAATATTCTTTATCATAGTCACTTTAATAAATAAATAAAAAAATACAACTATTTCAAAGTTATTAACAAATACGTCATAAACCTAACAATATTAATAGAAGTAAAAGTATTATATAAAAACTATTAATTAATGTATTATGTAATAGTAATAAAATGTTAGAAAAAGAAATAAGAATCACTTCAATTATAGCATTACACTACTAATTAAAAAAACACGAAGTAAAGAACATGATTTGTGTATATTACAAGGTTAAAAAAAACAAAAACAAAATCAAAATACGAAAATTACAATCTAGAAATAAAAAAATACATTTTTTAAGCGACGAAGACATCCAAGTCCGACTTGTTTTCCTGATCAATGACATCAAGAAACACAGGATCAACGATTATGTGACTGTCCACGTGGATCTTAAACTTGTGGTCCCACCACAACACCTTAGCCGCACCTTCGATATCCACCGCCGCGTCAAGAACCATTTCGCGCCGACTAACGTCAGCGATGAACTGAGTGGCGTGGTGAGCCAGCTCGAGGCCGCTCAGCCGCGCGGGAAGGGTGAGTAGCCGGCAGGATCCGGGAGGCTGCGAGCCGGCGTCGATCCGGGCGGAGCCGAGCTTGGAGCCGGAGTAGAAGATGGACATCTCGGAGGAGGCGTAGGAGATGGGGACGATGTTGGGGTTGGTGACGTGGACGGTGAGGATGAGTTCGACGTCGAGGACTGGGAGGTTGAGCTTGAAGGAGGTGAGGCTTATGGAAATCACCTCGAAAGTTGGGTCTCTCGGTTTGCCGCTGATTAACGCCGCCGCCGCCGCGGCTGACGCCGCTCCCACCAGGGCGGAGGACCAGCTCCATATTACCTTGTTGCCCATGTTTTTTAGGGAAAATTACGCTTCGACAACCGTCTGGTCACTTTGCTTTGCAGAGAGAGACTCTGCTTGGAGCGCGATGAAGAGAGCGAGAGAGAGACAGAAAGAGGGGAAGCGGATGATGATTAGTGAGGTATTGACTAGACTAGGTGTACTGTGATAGTTGTGTGAGATGACCTTTATGTCCTGAATAATGTAGGTGCTGTGAATTGAAATGCTTTATGTGGGAGGTTATTCTTGGAAATTAGTACTGGATATAAAATTGAGGATATAATATGATATGAGATTTAGTTAAGATATATAATGAATAGGATATAGGTATTGGATAATATATCTTCCAATTCATGTTTGTTAGCTTGATATATAAGATTAGATATATATTATCCATGTTTATTTTACAAAATATATTGTGGGATATAAATAAATAATT